AGACAGACAGACAGACAGACAGACAGACAGACAGACAGACAGACAGATCCATCCATCCATTCATTCAGGGGGAAATTTGAGGCATCCAGTAGCATTTTCTAATTATACAGAAAAAAATACACATGAAATAATTGAAAAAGAAGCAGATGGATAATAATGTATTTTCACTGGACTAGGGTTAGGGTGATGACTATTGCTAGTATCACTCAGCCTCTGTGAATAACAAGCAGCCATCAGGGCACTAACCGTCAGTTGTTAGGCTGATGGTCCTCCTTAACCTGTGAACAGCTAGTTACAGATGTTGACAGATGTTTTCATGTTGCTGTGTTCATGCGTGCTCATCTGCTCACACAGACTCATGTTCGTGCTGCTGTTTGGCGTTTTAGTGCTTAGCATATTTTTAGTTAATGTTTTTCTTCGTTCATATCTTAGATCTTATTACTGTTTTTATTTTACATTTTATTGTTGGATGTAACTGGGACCCTGTGTACATAATTTAGTTCCACCACATGCGATGCAAATGACAAATAATGAAACTCCGAATCTCTCTGAATCTCTGAACAACTAACTGGTTGATCCACAACGAGGAGGTGCTATTTATAACTGAGCTTGTTGCAGCTCCTCAGACTGAAGAAGTCCTTTGGATAAAAAAATAAACTTTTCAACAAAGAAGAATCCGTCCAGAGGACCTAACTCAACCTGGTTAGATTTATCCACCTGGATTATTGAGCAGCATCAGGATAGTCACAAATAGTTTCAGAAGAATGTTGCTCAATCTGAAAAAAACTTTATAATAGCACATAATACAGCCTGATATGTACTTGGTAAGTGCTCGGTAGGTACCAGGTACATAGCCGGTATATACTCAGTAGAACTGTGATTGCCTCCAATAGACCAATAACATTCACCCATTTATCCATTTTCTTTACCCACTTCTTTCTAGGACACAGGGAGCAGAAGAGGTGGGGGACACCCTGGACAGGTTTCCAGTCCATCACAGGGACACAAAGACAAACGAGACAAATAATGCTCTCACTCACCCCCAGGGACAATCTAGGGTTACCAATGAACGTAACATGCATGTTTTTGGTCTGTGGAAGGAAACCAGAGTACCCAGAGAAAAACCCATGGTGAGAACATACAAGTATAAACTCCACCCAGAATCTAACAAGGTTGAGTCAGGTCCTCTGGACGGGTTCTGCTTTGCTCTTTCAACAAAGAAAAACCCGTCCAGAGGACCTGCCAGCCTTATCAGATTTATCTACCTGGATTATTGAGCACGCATCAGGACGTCCACCCAGAAAGGCCAGGAGGCGAACCTCTGGCCTTCTCGCTCAATGGTGACAGCTCCAGTCATCGTGCTGCTGCTTTGTTGGTTACTATAAATGACCCTGGATGAGAATGTGAATCGTTATTTGTCTTGTATATGCGTCCCTTTGATTGACTAGAAATCTGTCCAAGGTGTCCTTCAGCTCTCACTGTGACAGCTGGAGAAAGACACCAGCTCCCTGAGACCAGGAAAGAAAAGTGGGTGAAGAAAATGAATGGATGACGGACGTACCCTGTACCAGTGATGTGCAGTCAGGGGAGGAGGGTGAGGTAGTGCCTCACCTGTCATCATGACAAGTAAAATCCTAACAGTGATGAGAAAATACATTTGACCAGTTCTATAAAACTGTTTTATTAAACAGTTTTCTGAATTATTTCAACTCTTCAGTGGTCAAAATCACAGAATTTACACATTGCCTGTTCAAACATGGAAGAAATGTGCGGGGCGAGGCAGTGTAGTGCTCTGGCTCACCTCTGGTGGCGCTGTGTCATATGACGTAGACGGTTGGCGCACGTCCGTTGCTGTCTCTCTTTATATCGCCAATATACATGTTTGATTACACATGCGCTGCACATGATGTTCTACAGTCTGTCTAATTTATTGAATGAATGTGTGTGACATATTTCTTCTTTCTAATCGGTCATAATGCACGATGAAAATACACAGGGTGAGGCAGAATGTACCTTGCCACACCAGTAGGGGGCAGTGCTGCCCCATAGGGACAATGAAACGTCGCTGTGAGTTCTTCTGTTACGCAGAGGGGCGGGGGGTGAAGCAAACCGTACACTCATTTAGATTTCTTTAGACAAAACGGAAGATCATATCTCAGAACGAAAGGATTTTTCTAAACTTGATTTTCAGTCAGAAGGTATTAGAGAGAGGAAGGAAAAATGAAGAAGAAAAAAAGGCTAGATTGAAATATGAGCTTCTATTTTGGGTTCATATATCTGAGCATCCGATTCTAAACGAGTCAGTGCCTCACCTGTCACAAACCTCACCACACGTCACCGCCCTGTACATGAGTAGCTGGTTAGTTTGTGCCAGGTAAGAACTGGGTGTGTACACGTCAGGTAACTAAGCGTGTACCTGGTACATACCTAGTAAGTACCTGAAACATACTTAGTAGGTATCTTTAACAGGCCAAACTAACCCCATCCCCAGTTTAAACCCGGATAGTTTGGCCCAGGCCAGAGTATATCCTGGAGGATAAAATGTCTTAGGCCAAACTGAACCCGGGGGTATAAAATAGCTCAGGCCAGACTATACCCCTCCAGGGTAGAATATACCCATTTATATATCCATATATACCCATAGTCAGACCTGGGTGTATGAATTGGTCTAAATGTTTAGAGTTTTATTAAATCAGTTAGCTTTTTCACTTGACGACAAAGCTGAACTTCCAATGAAATTTTGAAAAATTAAGTAATTCTTGTATCTTTGACTCAGCACTATTGATATCATGGGGTGAAGAGACCTGGGTTGGATTATACCAGGGACTGGGGGTAAATAAACAGGTAGTATACTATCCAGTACACACCAGATATGTAAGTACCAGGTGTACTGAGCTGTACTGTGTATTGCTACCCTTTCATTTTTAAAAACCTTAAATGCTGAAAAACTGTAAATCAAAGCCTGATTATCAAGAGCCTGTTTACTGATTCACAATTATTTTTATTTTTGAGGGGGTTTCAAGTCTTTTTGTGTCACATTTTATGAAAACATAATTCCAGACTTAAATTATCCAGTTACTTTAATAAAACACCATGTTACTGTGTTTTTATTAATGGTAATGCTTTTCTTGGAGGTGTGATCCATAATAATCCATCCATTGATCAATTGTTCATTTATTAGCTCTTGTCTGTGCAAAAAACGTGGCTGTCAACTTGAGCTTTTTTTAATTTTTTTATTTAACTTTCAACTAAAAATATAATTTTCTAAAAATCTGTTATTAAAACCAATAGCATTCCTCTGAGAAAGATTAGTAAAAACTGATTAATTATTGACCAAGACCTCTTAAACAATCATAAAATCTAGTGTGAAAATAAAATTGAAAGAAATGAGCTGTATCATTTAATACAACATTTAAAATTAACTGTGTTTAATTTTTTTAAATTGTTTTTTGATCTGATAGCAGACTTTAAAAGCTCCAGAAACTGTAAAATATGTTAACATGTAAAATAAAAAAATTAAAATAAAAAATAAAATAAAACAAGAAACTACCCCAGAACTGGAAGGCGGGGATTAATAATTTATCGGTACTTGTGATTGGCCTGTTAAGTGATGGACACTTTTTCCACCAATGAGAATTCAGATGTTATGAATCTCCCCTACCCTCGCCCGTTTGCTTCCTTTTAGAAGTTCATCTTCTACAGTAAACAAATAAATAAAGTAAAATTAATTTGTTTGTGTTTTTAGACGTTCGGGTTGCTTAATAACTCGGTTTTAGGGGTGCTAGTGTTTGTAGCTTCCGGTTGTTAATGGCGGCAACTCTCACGGAAGAAGCTTGTTAGCATGTTAGCTTGCTAACTTCCCTCTGCGTCACAGCTAAATTAAGTTTTTTTATTTTTGACAACTTGCTGTTCAAACTTAAAATATCGAAACCGAAACGTGAGTAAAGGAGCTACATGTGTTTGTTTTATAATAAAAGATTACATGTAAACACCTGTAAGTACTTTGTGTTAGTCGTCATGCTAACGAGGCTAACGCGATTAATTCCTGCTGTTCTGAATTATTATTTTTTATTTAAATCTAGTTTTACTGGAAAAATTAATTACATTTAGAGTATTTTTTGTATTTGATATTTCTAATAAAAAAAATTCAGCTAACATTGTTATTCCCAGATTTATTCTAGTGCATATTAGCCATAAATAATAAAAATTTTGTTATTTAAATTTGTGTTTTTAGCTTTTTAAAACACATATTACCCATAAGCATGTCAACGCTTTAAACAAAGATGTTTTAGCTCGAGTGTATGTGTTGGAAACGACTCTCAACTACTACCACCCAACAGTCTGTTGGGCATTTACACATGTACACGGATAATTCATTTCTGAGAGATTTACTAAAACCTGTCCGGCAGTTCATACGTTCTTAAATTTAATTTAAAATTAACTTGTAACTCCAGCTTTGATTTCCCTTTGAGAAAAAATCAGACTTTGAACATGCTCACTTAAAAAATGTCCTGTCTTTGTATTTGATTATTTTACTTTATCAGCTGTTTGTGTTGCTGGAATGTTTTATTTTATTTTTTTAGGAAATAAATCAGTGAAGGTAGTGCTTCAGTTTCTGCTTTTACACATCTTTAAAGTCTTTAAAGTAATAAAGACTTTCTTTAGTTGTTCCGATTATGACGACATCGTTTCTTTCTCGAAGTTTACGCCTCTTTGCCCCACCTGTGGTTAAAGCTGTTTTTCACACAAACCAAACACAGTAAATGATTTTTAATCTTTGTATTTGTCTGCAGCCTGTCCCAGATGGTCGGGGAGAACATGTAACTTCAACGGAGTCTGTGTTGACGGAGACGTTGGTAACGGCACCTGCGTCTGTAATGTCAGTTTCATTTTCTTTAAAAAATATATAAAATCTGTTTGTTACTAAATTCAGCATCTGTATAGTGTACTGTGACGTGACTCAGAATGAAGCCCACAGTCAGGAGATGAAAACATTCATAAAACTGACTAAACAAACTTTTATCTCTGATATTTATTGACATTTACTGCTAGTGGCATTAAAATATGGAAATGATTTTCAGGGTCTTTTGTTTCAGAATTTTTTGTTTATTTCTTTTATTTTCTAAAAACATTTATTTTGTGACTTGTTTAACCATCAGAAGGTCCTTTCAGTTTACGACAAGAAGTGGTCTTTAGAGGCAAATCAAACATCTCTGCTTAAAATACTATTTATTATTGTTTTTGTCTATCATAAACTAGTCCGTCTTTTAGAACTATCACATTTTGTCCCTTTAGGATAACGTTAGGATTTTTGGACATTTCAACAAAAAATTCTAAATCAGAGTTTTTGGAACGCCGTCCACCCCCAGCCCTCACCCGCCACATCTGGAAGCCTGAAATGATGTCGTTTTCAATCTCGCCTTCACAAGTCGACCCGGTTAAACTTATATTTCTAAAACCTTCACATGTGCACAGTGCCAGTGTCCGCGTGTGATTCTTTATCTTGCATATATGTGGAGCTAGTTTTGTGCCACATGTTTACTCGTGCACAAGTGTGTTTTTGCTCCTCAACAGCAGAACTAAAATCACATTTTTCCAATGAGATGTCGGGTTCTGCAAAAACCTGCATTTGAGGAGGAGGCACCGTTTTTCTGGGTGTCTGCAAACAATATTGAAGCATTGCTGAGAAGTAAAAGCACAGTGGGCTAATGTAAAAATCAAACGCATAGATGTGAAGAAAAACAGCAACCGAAAGGATTGCATTATTTATGGGATCAAAATATGAAATCAAACGGGTTTCAATGGGTCCGTTTTACCCCAAAGAACACCTTTAAAGTTACTGGAAGTTTATGGGAGCATTTGAAACAATCCTGACAAAGAAATAAATAGTTTTAGGATTTGTCAGAATCAGTCATTTTTAGTGAGAACACACTAAAAAACAAATAAAAATAAATGCATGGCTTATTTTTCCCATTGGAACCCTCTGAGAAATATCAATCATGTTTTACTTTATTAAACAGTTTTAATTTTTTAATGCCAGTTGTTTGATTTCAGGAAATGTTTTCATTAAAATCATTCATGTTAATATTTCAGAGGACTTTAATTTACTTCTTCATATTTATTTTCCAGCTCTTTTTGACATTCATCATGAACATATAGAGTTCTGTGACTAAGCTGAGGCCAAAATACAAAAATTAAAAACACAAACTGTGTTCACATCACCCACAATTATTTTGTGTTTCGAACAGAATTTGATCCTTTTGTTCCTGTTTTTTTTTTTTTTTGTGCTACAAAAACTGCAGATCTTGAGCTCGAGTTGAGTCTTGAGTTGCTTTTCTGAGTAAAAACACCAAATTTAATCAACTTCAAGTAGCTTTTTAACAATGTTCACAACGTGGTGGGTTTTCATTTACCGTCCTGATTAAAGAAGACGTTGGCTCACATTGTGACAGGATTTAATTTAAAAATATTTTAAATGAAGTACATGCAGTAATAACATGTTATTTGTGACACTTGTTTCTTTCCAATACTTTTGTAAAAGTAAACTTTCTTTTCACAGGAGGGTTTCTCTGGTTTCGCTTGTCATGAGTGTAAAAATCCAAATGCTTTTGGAAAAACGTGCAATAAAGGTAAGATGTTTGTCTGCTGGGGTGAACTTCATTAATGTTGCAGAGCCTCCTGAGTTTCAGATCATAAAAACATTAAGGTTTTTACAGAATATCATTAAATATCTTACACTGAAACGGTCAGGTGCGTAATTTCTAATATATCACCACTTTATCCTGACTCAGCAGAGGCATTTTGTTTTTACACAACAGTAATAAATAATTACGTGATTTTTGAATTTTAACATCTTTGTCTCCGGTCCTGTCACATTTGCCTTTTTCTTGCTTCATTTGGAACAGAAATCTATAAAATATCATGAGTGACACAGATGCTTAATTTATCTTGTGTCGCAGCCTTATACTTTAACATTTCTATCAGATTAATTCGTTTTTGTCCACTTTATATCAGGGTTTGGCCTCAGTTTAGAAAAATAAAGAATTTATTTTCAATGTTTTTCTAGGTCTGGATAAGCGTAGAAGAACATTTGTGTTTTCTACTTCAGCCCCCTCTTCTGTTTCAAGCTGCTTCTAGCTTTTAATTAGATATAAAAAAAGATAAACATAAAGTTTTTATTCCCCTTCCGTACCTTACTGTGTTTAAACGTATTTAAAATAAATTAGGATTATTCACCGATGTTGTCACAAGTTAATCCGGCCCTAAAACAAAGTTGTTGTTTTTTAATTTTACTCTAAAAGAGGACAAAAATTTCCAAAACAAACATCATTGCACATAAGATAATTGAAATCATGTGTTTAGGTCCATAAACTCATCAGAAACGCACATATTTATTGTTTTTAGTAATGTTTCAGTCTGTACTGTACTTCTAATATTAACAAAAAGAGTCTTGGTGGTGGAGCTGTCTGCATCTATAAACTGAATATTTAACACCACGCCGTGATGAAAATTAATAATCACGCTACTTCCTGTGTATGTACAGTGTGTGACTGCGTGCATGGAGTGTGTAATAAAGGTCCAGACGGCGACGGACAGTGTTTGTGTCAGCCACCGTACACCGGGAAGCGCTGTGACGTCGGTAAGACCGTGATTCTGTTCTGCACTAACTGGACCTCATCAAACTGTATTTGGACCGAATGCTGAGATGATCATAATAAATGTTGACAGTGAGCAGCAGGTGCAAGAGCTGCAGCTCCTACTCGTACTGCAAAGGAGACGGCGACGACGCCAAGTGTGAATGTTTGCCTGGACACAGGAACATGTTGGGGAATAAATGCACACGTAAGAACTCGTTTTAAACACGTCTAAACTGATGTTTGAACCTGCTTCTGTCCCCCGTCGCCAAACGAAAAGGGGATTTGGAAATCTTGTGTCCGTGCATGTGGTGACTAATCACTTGAAAAATAAAAGAGGTACCAACTTCCATTTTGGTGTGTGACTGCATCTAGGCGTAAGAAACTTTCCTTTAGAAGATTGTCAGTTCAAAATCCAAGATGGCCACCACATAGATATTCAAACAGGCCACCCCTATCGTTTGAGGAAACTGCTTTCTAGTTTTATATTGCCTAAAAGTTTAGTTTCCTCGGATGATTGGGGTGGCTGGAGATTAATCTATGAGCCCCCCCTCCAGGTCCTCCATTGCTCATGGTGGTGAGAAAAATTGCTCCTTCCAGGATCCATCACTCTGCTCTGCCTACCTCCCTCTGTTCTCCTCACAGTGTAACTCCAGCTCAGTTGAAAAAAGGTTTGTAGGCTCAATCATCCAGGTAGAAAAAAGGTTAAATCATTTCATCTGGACCGGCTTCTTTAAAGGAGAAACGTTTCGTCTTCCATCCAGAAGACTTCATCAGTCTGTGGCTTGCCAACCAGATCTGTCCCATAAGTAGCCTTCACTGCTGTGTTTCAAGTCAACCTGTTAAGAAACTGGTCCAGATGACAAGATTTAACCTTTTTTTCCTGCTCACTTGAACATCTTGCACCAAAAACATTCAGGTTTATTTAATTCTCTGTTTAATTCCAGTCCAGAAAAAAACACTCGTCTCCAAAACAACAAACATTCACTGTTCAGATCCCTCAGCGACGGGGACATTGGTGTAACGCTTGTTACTAAACCGTCTTTAGTTTGATCCCAGTAAAATAAAAGGATAAAAACTTCACTCGTCAGAATCCTTGTTGTTGCATAAAACATAAAAGTTTATCCTGAACAGTTCTCAAATGGTGCAGTTTAAAAGAGTTTCCGCCGGTTCTTTTTCTGATATTAAAGAAGTTTTGAAATGCAGGTATGCATCTAAAGTAAACAAATCACTCTGAACCCACAAACCCCCCTGGAAGCTTGACCTACATCAGGCTGGCTGTCTTCAGTGTGGGGGAACAAACATGGTGGAATCAGACAAGCGCAGGATCTCTGTTGGAGAAAAATAAGCTGTCTTAACTTACAAGTCGGCCTCCAGATGGAGATAAGAGAATGTTTTGGGCATGTTCTCATGGCGACAACGCCAGTGAGGCACTGCGAGTCGGCGAGCTGGCCTTCAGGCCGAGACAAGAGAATATTTTGTGCACGCATTACAGACGAGGGAAAGGTGTTCTCAGCCATCTCAGCCTTAATATAAAAATATTCATACCAAAAATTCTCACATTCTCAGACAATGTTTAGGTGGAAATGAGAAACATATTCTTTACGAGTTATTTTGACAAGTGTTCCACAGAGTACCTTTAAACGTGGATCAGGATTCTGATGTGAACCGGGTTTGTTGTTCTGTTTAGAGATTTGCTCGATGACGGACTGTGACGTCAACGCTCGGTGTTCCTTGAAGGGCTCAAAGATATCATGTGCCTGTAAGCCCGACTACATGGGGGACGGCAAGGTCTGCGTACCCCGAAACCCATGTTTAGAGAACAGCGGAGGGTGTCCCATCAACTCCACCGTCTGTGTCTTCAAGGGTCCCAACAAGGTGGGGGTCTCCAGAGCTCAGTCCAAACAAACCCATGAAGTTGGAACGTGTGTTCAGATGAACGTCGTGTGTTTCTGTTCTCAGTCGAGCTGCGAGTGTATGTCCGGCATGGCGCCTCTGCGTGGCAGCCCTGAGTTTGGCTGCCAGCTCCTGTCTGCCTGCTCACCTGATACCTGTGGCCCCACCGCTGTCTGCCGGACTGAACTGGACGGAAAACCCAGGTCAGACAGAAACCTTCATACTGTGCAAAAGTCCTGGTCCAGTTCTCATGTTGTTATTTTGTCCTTTCAAGCAGCCAGTAACCTTTTAAAGTGCCTGTGACATGCATAACCCATCATTGCAAAAAGTGGAAGAAAACTTCTCAATATTTAAGAAATTTAGCAAAATACACACAATTTTACCTGTTTTGTCATAAATGACCTAAATTTTTCAACGGAGCAGCCCAAGTGAAACAGGAAGTGACATCAAAGGGGAACTACCTGCTCAATGTCCTCCAGACAATTTCGCAAAACTTCATACACACATGCCTCATCATTAGACGGAGTGTCGTATACACTTTTCATCACCGTAGCTCCAAGGTCAAGGGCACAAATCAAGGTCAAAGGTTATTCACGGTCTTAGCTTGCCCGGGTCTTTACTACAGATTGCTGTATAATAGTTGGTTGACGTGGGTATATAGTGACAATAAAGACATTTAGTCTTTTTAGCATTGACAAGTGGACGGATTAAGTAATTTGTTAATTTCTCTGCTCTTAACTCGTTTGGATCAGATGTGTGTGCGAGGCGGGTCAGATTGGAGACGGCCGGCGTTGCTACGGTAACCTGATGGAGCGCCTCATCGATCTGGACTCGAGCGGCAGCCAGAGAGAGAACCTGACCGGAGCCGTCACCTTGTTTGGTAAAACAACACAATCATACCCTGCCACAGACGACCGTCTCTTCGCTCTGAAGAGGGTTCTGGTTTTGTAAACATTTAGTTAAGGGAAGAAACTTTGTTTAGAGTTAAAAGATGAATATTCTGATGTTTTTAGCTCAAAATTTGATAGAAACTTAGTTTTGTTGCACAAATCTCTCAAAAATGTCCAGCGATTGTTGCCCAACATAAAATTTATTTTGTTCTAGTTGATTATTTGTTGCAGTTGAGCAATCTTGACCATAAATCCGAGGCCTTTCGCCCGTTGAGCACTGATCTGTCTTCTGACGTCAACAAGTGATGGAGCTCAGAGATGAAGCGCAGACTTTGCTCCAGCTTGGTCTCCACCTGGTCACAAAGTCGTCTCTTCCCTCTCGTACAGTTTTCATTAATTTATCACACGTTTGACTTGCAGAAACTAATTTGAGAAGCTCTTGAGAAGGATCTGAGACGGGTTCCAGACACCTGTGATTACTCAGTGAGGATTTTAAGACAGTAGTTGTTTTGTGGTTATTTTAAAGGCTTTGACACTCGTGAGGAGATTGAGACATTTTGAAAACTTAGTTTGGTGCAGCATAGTGAGCCAGTGACCAACATGTGTAAAAACTAGGACAGCTGTTTATTTTAGACCGTTGAAGACGGGTCGTATGATGTTACAGTACACATTTTTTATCACCGCAGCTCCAAGGTCAAGGTCACAAATCAAGGTCAAAGTTAAAACAAGGTCTATGCTTGCCCGGGCCATTGGTATAGATGGCTGTTTGTCGACAGGCGTATAATGCGCCGTATGTGTACTTTTCATCCATTCTCTGTTTGTCTTGATCCAGTTAAAGAAGCAAACTTTGATTCAGTTTGTGTTTATTTAAATCAAGCACAGTATAAATATTCTGTTTCAGTTTTAGTGTAACATGTATTACACAGGTCAAGCACCTTGAGTTTCCTTCTGGTATGAAATGTGCTTTATGAATAAATTAGCCTAAAGCCAGGAAACATGCAGCGTTTGTGTGCTGCCGATGCACAGATCTGTTGAACGTTTCGTCTCGTTCTACAGAAAGAGGCTGTCAGATGCTGCTGAGTCGCTCCGGACCCTTCACAGCCTTCTTCCCGCTGCTGAAACAACCTCTGACAGTAGGTGGTTCTGCCCGTTTGGGTCGCTTCAGAACTTCCCCTGAAACTTTTCTCATCTTCTTCTCTCTCTGTGTCTACAGTCTCTTTGTTTCCAGTTGTTTTAGCTTTGGTTTACATTTGGATGGACTGTTTGTTCATTAAACACCCATTCCCCTCAACCGTCAGACAGAAAAAATACAAATGTTGACTTTTATATCAGCAAAATGTTTAAAGATTAGTAATAAAATAAAATCAATATTTAACAAAACAGTGGTGGAAGATAAAAGAAAGAATAACAGTTGAGCAAATATTTCCTGTTATTCTCAGGATTATGCACATAAATTTAGATTAGCCTTAATAATTTGATACTGGTGTTTGGCATAAATTATATTTAACATTTTTATATATAGTGTGAGGCCTCTTGAGTGAAAAGACACAATTTTCTGTTTTTACTTTTAATGAAATCGGCAACTCTTACTTTTAAAGGAAGAGTTGAAACAAACGATCAGATGGATTTAAGAGCGAGTTTCTTTCTTCAATTGGTTATTTTGATTATTTTGCATCACAAATTAAACATAAAATGATTTTAAAATGTGGGATGATGTGAACTTTTGAAGATAATAATTCTGCTGCAGCTTTAGAGGGTTTAAACTCATCCATCCCACCTATGATGTCTAAAACTGTTTATTTACAAACTGTTCAGTAAACACTTGTTTACTTCTGATGTTGATCTTTTGTGTGGACAGGGTGCTAATGAGGCGGTGGTGTGTAGAAACCACCTGATCCTGGGTCAGCACCTCTACAAAGACCTGCAGGGACGAGACTTCACACTTTTCGGAGGAGAAAAGATGAGGGTCAAAGTAAATCAGGTAATCGTCTTCAAGTGGTCTGATTACAAAACAAATCGTCGTTTGAGCCCAGATTCATTCAGAAATCATTTCTGTGTAGAAGCCAGAGCAGGAACGGTGAAGTTATTTCCCTACTGGACAAATATTAGATCAGAGTTTAACTTCTTTTTGTTCCAAAATAATGATTTGTCTTAAACCTGTGAACAGGAGTCTTCAGTTCTTAGACAGGGCCAGATTCTTACTGTATGTATATTTATGGTTTTAAATCGAACTGAATGAGGGAAAGAAACTCTGTTTGTTAAAACATGAAAAAAAGAAACATTCAGTCAAAAAGAGTATCTTTTATTTTACTTTTATCTGTCCAAGCACCAAGAAAAGCCAACAGTAATTTTCCTTTGTTTATGCACAAATAATGAAACGGTTTCCTGATGCTGCTCAATAATCCAGGTAGAAAAATCTAAAAAAGTTAAATCTGGTCCTCTGGACATTCAAAAAAAACCAAA